GGACCCAGCACAGCTGCCGCGGGGGGGCACAGGTGTGGGGGGGGACAACACCCCTGGGCATGGGGGAGACTCCTTGCTCCATTTTCTTGGAGGATGCTGTGCCAATGGTGTCTCCCTTCCCCCTTTCCTCAGGATTGTGCTGTTGTCCCCCCAATAAACTCTGTGGCTTTGCCCCCCACACCCCAGCAGCTCCCTGATGTTTCCAGCACAGACACTGGGGGTGGGGGTGTCCCCAGTTCCAACTCCAGCACCAATGAAAGGGTCAGGTCCAGCACCCAGGGGTGTTACACTGGGCCCAGAGGCTTTGGTGAAGTGGGAAGATTTTATGGGTGGGGTGTTCCCAGCAGGTCTCCCACCCCTCTGCAGCCCAACCCAGTTCTCCATTGCTTCTGGACAGGCTGGGTAGGGGTCACACGGTGGGGGAACATGCAGCAGATAAATTACAGTGGACGTGGGAGCTGGTCTGGGGCTCAGCACGGGGCTGAGGAGAACTGCCTGACAGTGGTAACCTCTAGACACAGGCACTGGTGCGGGGGCTCCCTCAGGCTCCCCCCTCCGTGCTGTGTCTGCAGCTCCCCCTGTCAGCACATCCTGACTCTCCCCTAGTCCTGGAAGCGGTTCAGGAGGTCGCAGGTTTTCTTCTCCATCAGCTCATAGATCTTCTTCACCCGTTTGTCGTTGGCCGCCCGGACGTAGCTGCTGGGGTCCAGCGTGGCCATTCCGTCGTGCACCTCGCCCATGATGATCAGGGGCCCGTCCTCCGCCGTCATGTTGGGGCAGGGGCAGCTCCAGTCCATGTCGGTCAGGGTCACCTCCAGGTACTTGATGTTGAAGAACTTGAGGCCCATCTTCTCATCCTTGAGGACGTCCTCGAGGGCGAAGCGGGCTATGCCGGAGTCCTGGTCCTCCACGATCTCCATGAGCCGCCCCACGATGGCGAAGTCGCTGCGGCAGAGGCTCAGCACCATCTTGCTCTTCAGGCGGCAGGCCTTGCACTGCAGGCTCTTGGGGAAGGGGCACACGTCCTCGCAGGTTTCCTTGCTCTCGAAGTTGTTGGTGTTGCCCTCGCAGCCGCCGTAGACGAAGGAGTGGCACTGCTTCAGCAGGTGGTTGTACGCCCAGCGCGGCTCCCAGTTCTGGCAGGGCCCCTGCACCATGGGCANGAGCCCCTCCCTCGGGCCATGCACCGCGGCCTCGGTTCCCTGCTCCCCGTTTTGTTTTTTTTTTCTTTATTTATTTTATTCCGTTTGGGGAAAACCCCAATATCTAATTCTCCTGCAGGCCTGGCTCTCCTGCTTAGTGCTTTGCTCCCTCCAGGAAAACCCCGATATCCAGCTCTTGGATAAACTGGATACGTATTTTTTCTAGAAAAGACCCATTCAACAGTGGACCCAGGCTCCACAAATTTTTTATTTTTTCAAGAAAAAACCCAATGGCCAACTCTCCAGCAGCCCAAGCTCCCCTGCTCAGTACTGTATTCTTTCCAGGAAAACCCCAATATCCTGCTCTCAGATGAGATTTATGTGTATTTTTTCACAGCAAAGACCCCCTTGGACAGTCCAGGCTCTCTGGCTTGATGCTTTATTTTTTCCAGGCAAACCACAATATTCAGCTCTTGCCCAGCCCAGGCTCCCCAGGTCAATACTCACAATATTTTTTTCAATAAATCCCCAATATCCAACTCCCAAACAACCCATGCTCCCCAGCTCAGGACTTTATTTTTTCCCAGAAAACCCCCAAAATCCAGCTTTCCACTGTAAAAAAAAAAAAAAAGCCTGGTGGGGAGATGCTGGAACCAGCCCCTGTCCAGGAGAAGTTTTGTGCTGCCCACCCAGCAGCATCCAAATAAAATAATATATGGGTAAAAATAATCTCCAGGCTGGGAGGCTGCAGGAGCTGAGACCTCGGTGGTGAATGTGCCAAAAAGGGTGTAAATAACACCAAAATCAGGAGGTGCTGGTGCAGTGGTGCCAATGGGGTCCCCACAAGGGGAGTGCTCCAAACGTGGCGAGGTTGGGCCCTGGGGCCTCTGCATCCCCACGCTGCATCCCCGGTTGTCCAGGTGCTTCCAGTTCTCTGTGTGGCAGCTGGAAGCAAAGGGCTGGGCAAGGACCCCCAGGCTGTGCTGGACCCACATCCCTGTGGGTGTTTCTCCACTCCTGAGGGTCCGTGCAGGGCTCTGGCCCTGCCTGCAGCGGCTGCAGGGGCACCCGGCCGGCCTTGAGCTGGGCTTGATGCCCACAGCATTGCTGCCTACGTGGAGGCCACGGGGCTGCCCAACCTGCTGCCCCCCATCCTGCTGGACGTGTCCCAGGGCTGGGAGACCTGGGGGGGCACCCAGCCCGCCAGCGTGGACCTGCTGGTCAGCATCAACATGATGCACATCTCAGAGCTGCGCTGCACCGAGGTGAGCGCCCTCCGCAGCCGCTGTCCCTGCTCAGGGGGATCTCCCGGGGGTGTTTCCAGCCCCCTGACCTGTCCCCACCTCTCTCGTCCCCCAGGGCCTGTTCAGGGGTGCCGGGGTGCTGCTGAAGCCTGGAGGTGTGCTCTTCACGTATGGGGTGGGTCCCCTGTCCTGGTGCAGGAGAGTCCTGGGGGTGCAGGGTGCCAGAGCAGATTCTGGGGGGCAGCTCCGCTCATGGCTTAGGGAGGGAGCTGGGAAATGCAGGGGCTTGGCTTCTGGGGGGTCTCTGCCTTTTGAGGCACATGCTGAGCCCTGGAAGGGGCAGTTTTGGAGGAGGCAGGTCCTGTCCTCCCTCACCTTATCCAAAGCAGGGTCTGTGGTGCCTGCAGAGGGTGACAGGACTCACAGTGGGTGACAGGACTCCTTGGGGGCCGTGTCTCTTCCCGCTTGGCTTCTGTGGGGGCAGCAGCCTGTGGCAGGGGGGCTGGGGG